GCCGTAATATCGAGCCGAAGCGAAGGTTTGTCGGTCTCATTCTTGGCGGAACAGGGCGGCAGAGATTGCCGCGAGGTTCAATTATTCAGTAGACGGACGGAGTTAGGCGAAATCCTCTTACGCCGGTCCGTGATTCCTCTGGAAATTCATAACAACGTTTACACTGCACGAAATAAAGACGAGACTGAAAATCACCGCGGAAGACGTCCCTTTTTGTCTTCGGCAAGCTACACGCGTTAAACCCGCCGCTTCTTTTACCTCTTCGTTTCTCAATCTACGCTTTACTGCAGGCTCGAGCAAGCGAATCGGAGAAATCCGGCCGAGCATGAATTCAATCAATGCTTCTGCATGAAGACGTTCCTGCCGTTCGAGGAAACGATGATCAACGTTGTCCCAGCATAGAATAGAACCAACTAAACACGATCGTCGTCGGTATTCGCTACCGTTAATAAAATCAGTGTCGACTTACGATTGGATTACTGCGATGTCCGTTCTTATCGTATTTCCGTAATGTCACAGAAAAACGCTACTCACGCTTCATGTAACTGCGATTCACGCTTATAAAACGCTAGGCATCGAGTGAACGTGAAACACAGTTGCCGGATACACAAGCTACGCAACCTTATGATTACCTTTGTTCGTCGAAGGTTGCACGATTCTCCACGCGCTCTTTCATCCGTGGCCTACAAAGTGAATCTCGCAAGAGGAAGCGACGACTCGGTGCAGAGCTTAACGAACGAGACAAAGTCTACTTACGCTAGTCGACCTAAGACGTAGAATGATAAAACTCTGAAAGTGACAAACCACTTTCCCCAGCAACGTGTACTCTCTTTGTTATAATTTTTCTCTTTTCTAATCGAACGTCACATGGAAAAGATACGATAGGTCAATTCTTGTTCATTTTCTGTCTGATTTTATTCCACTCGATGGCTGAGAAGAAGTACTCCGATAGATAATACAGTCGAGAAAGATAGTAATCTGATAGGAAATACGTGATAAATGCACGATTTGTAAGAAACGAATAAGACTCGTTCAGTTATCGCGTTAATTCAACTTCATCGATATTAGTTTAAACGCGTAATTTAATTCCAAGATTTATCTTCGAAGTTAAACGCACTGAATTAAAAATTTCACCTATCGAATTAAAAAATTACTATATCCAGGTTCTTTCTCAAAGGATCCCTCAATGCGCCTCTCCACTGAGTTCTCAACTACTGGCCAATTAATGACTCGCTGAAACCCTTAAATACTCGTCCTCGATACAACGCAATCATTTGTATTTCCATTTATGTCAGAATTTATCGTAATTGGCGATTAATGACAATTACACCATAATTAATATTTACAACTATGTATTCAAGCGCCAATTTTCTCATATTGAAAACGTTGCCAGTTCCAAGGGTAAAGCAGCAAAAGGGTTAACAAAGCGAAACTACGTATCGTTATGACGAAAGATACAATCGCGTTATCGGACGTCACGGACAGGTGCGAATAGGAAGGAAAAAACGTAGGTAAAAACGAGGCGACAACAAGGACGCGCGTGAAAGCCTTCTTCGGCTTTTCCACGTCATTGTACACAGGAGAAATAACGCGACCGGACGAGAGACGAAGAAAGAGGAAGTGGAGGAGGGAGCCTCGTAATTTTCCAACCGCGCCACCAACGCCGCTATGTAACAATGAACGAGAGAAATTCCGCGAATACAATGGCAAAGCGCCACGGTGAAATCGCGCCCGCCGACGAAAATCCCGTAAATTCAGGGACGCCCCACGCCCGTCCACGTTTCGCGCCCTAAATTCGCAACCGCCGAACAAACTTTTTTGTTCTCGCTACCGAGTATCTCTAACGTCTGCCACGCTGGATTTTTCCTACCCTGATTACTCCTATTTTTCTATTCGATCAATTTCTCAGAGGTTTAAACGATTATTTTAACCTGTTAAACGAGTAGTTGATTCGTGGATTACCAATCTTTCGAACATAAGAATCGAACGTTCAAATGGCTCAGATATCGTATCGATCGATCGCATAAATTGAAAAATACAAGAATGCGACCGATGAAATGCTATTTTAAAAATATTCCGTCGAATTTATTGTTATTTGTATCATCTTCTTTTAAATTATAATTTCATATCATTCGTTTCATCGCTAACGATGTATACGTTCGTTACCACGTTTTAATTATTCGAGTAATGCGGCTGGCACGAATACTGCGTTTTTTCAGTTTATACGCATTTCGACAATATGGCTTAGAAAAATAGAGAAAGCGTTAGACATAATACGTTGCAATGAAGATGAAGACATTTGTAACGAAAGAAATGTGCAATTTCAACGCAGCTACGCTTTCTAACAACGAACACGTTAACCCATGTTGCTTTCAAATTTAAATAATACCAGTTACCCACTATACGCGTATTGTTCTGTTTTTAACAGAAAAATTTACCTCGCAAGAATTAAATTCGTTGCTTATAATTTCGCAGATTAAAAAATGCAAAAGAGCAGAAATGAATTCGTAGTAGTGAAGTCAACGCGCTTAAAATGATTCAATTAGGCAATGGCTGTACCGGCTGCGTTTCTCTACACGACCATTTACAAGTTAGTATAAAGGTGGGATTTCTTATAAATCGATAACCGAATGCGACAGCTGAAAATCGTGCAGAAGCGTGCATCTTCGATGCATTAGTACACAAACGTCTGACATTGATGGAAAATATCTACTAACGCTACGTCTGCCTGATCGGAACCACATCCAGCGTCAGACGTCTGACGATTACGGTTAGTTTCTCCTTAATCCTCCAATTTCAAGATAAATAAACTTCTCGATAGTTGCTCTTGGGTATTGCGCGAACCTTCGGTACGCTAATAAAATATTGATATTCTGATTCCGATGTTATTACCTAATTCAACTTTTTCTTACCAGAAACGTAAGCTTTTCTCTCCTTCGCTGAAACAATGTAATACGATAGAAAAAATTGTGTAATTTCTAATAAAAATAAGAAAGAAGATGCTCGTACATTTACCTCGAGAAGGACGCTTGAAACGTTCCATAAAAATTAGAAAAATGTGCCGTATGGCTATGAAAATTGAAGGATGGAACATCCATCGAATCATCGTCGCCGAAAGATAGAATTCGTGAAATCGACAAGGAGGTCCTATCGAGTGAACGCGACCTCGTATCGATAAGGAACCGTCGTAAGAGATTTACGAACCGCGGAGCATCCGTCGTGACGATGTCGCCGTTCACCACGCTTCGATTGCATCGCAAACGTATCGAGATCACGATGGAAGGGCGACTGCCTGATGGGAGTTGCGAGATTGCCTACAAAATACCTTCCACCTTCTGCGATTCATCTTCTAACGATCGTGTTAGATGCGTCCAAGGATATTTTCCTCAAATCCTATCGACATCGACCTATTTTAAACGAACGTATGTTAGAGCGTAGTAGATACTTTACTTTTTTTAGCAGTCGAAGGCTTTCTAACACATTCACCGTATCGTGTATGTCCCACTGGGTTGCTGTTGCTTATTTCAACACGATATATTACAGCTGTGACTGATTTCTGTAACGATAGATTAGAATGATAACTCGAACAGCAGTATAATTTCATTTACCTAAACTCATACAAACGGTTCATGCAATAAACGTACAACATTTTTCTTCGCTATCTATTCATTTTCGTTTACATAATAAAAGCTCGCCTTAAGATAAGTAAGTTCGATCAAATAAGTATTAACTAACATTTCAATGAATGAAGTTCGAATAAACAGAGTCCTAACACGTACAGACAACGTTCGAAGAATCTCGTTATTCGTTCTGTGCCTTTAACGCGTCTTAGAAATACGAAAACGTGTTGACAAATATTTCGTTTCCAGAGTACCCCAATAACGCTGCGAAATGTTTTTGCTACGAATTCGCGATACTCGTTGATTTCGTAAACGCGATTCATCGAATGGTTATCAGAGGCACGAGTAAACACAAAGGCTCCTCCTATCGGGTTTCTCGCAGCCAAATGAGCACGTTCGAATACGAAAAGTGTTTATAAACATGCTGGGTATCGATACGTAAGTTTCGAGAATGACTACATGTAACGAAGTAACGCCATGCCGATGCAAAACGTGAGCTACTTTCTACTTGTTCGTAATCGCGAGAAACGTAAGCATTGAGATTTCCCAGTGCGTAACAGACGATGGTAACTGAAAGAAATTTCAGAAAAGAATCGAAATGGAATTCTTTCGATCAAAGTAAATTATTTTGGAATAACATTCCATTTCGACTAAACGCGAATGTGAAACGATAAATTACGATGCGTCGAAATTTTATTTCGATCGAAGCATATCGTAAGAAAGTAAAAAAAACTGATAATTACAAATTGCGTCTTAAAATGTAAAAATAACATTCTACCCTAATTAGACGCATGAATTAAACAACGCGAATAAATTATACGCGTTAAATTGTATTCGACACATCGGTTGGGTTTGATTAAATTTTACGCGATTTATGGAGAAGGAACATACGCAGGTAAGACCGCGCAAAACCGTTAAAACGCGAACACATTTATCGTAGGTACGATATATGTACATCGCAGAGAAGAAACGGGTCTTCCCTTAAATTCCTACATGTATACCAAAGTTTCTCCAATTAATAGGACAGTTTTTTCTCTCGCGATAGATATGCACCGCTAAATTGCGCAGTAGCGTCGCGTGTGGGCGACCAAGTCTAACGGTAGAGCCAGAGAACGATCGACCGGCATTTTAAACTATGTAACAATGTCGAAATGGATCTCGCGAGACTCATAGAGTTTAAAACATTCCGCGCGACTGTGCATCACCGACTTAAACGTATGCCGGCGGAAAAGCGTGCGTACGTACTATCGACTGAACGAAGACAGAATCAACAGGGTATGGTTCGGAAATGGTATGTATGTATATCAGGCGTTCGAGAAGCGTAGCTAAATTCACGGCTAATTCAAAAGAAACAAACATCGAGCTACGATGGTAGCGAGAACACTCTTAAAGACTAGGAAATTACGGGAACGCGTATTAAATTTGTATGTAAAAAAACTCACCGGTGCTACGCGACTTGCGAGCTGTGTCAACTGCGCAGTTGATGAGCTAAAACGCTGTGGTCAGGGACGTGGTGCTCGGTACCGGTGCCCGAACAACCGGTAATATTAAACAACTGACGCGACGCGTATCGGCGATTTAGTGAAACACACGGCACTGATTTTAAAATTACGCTTGCACGTAACCAAGTTACGCGGTCCATTTTCCGAACGCATCGATTGGTTCGTTACGATCGGAATGGACGACTTCCGATTCCAGAGTTGTCTATGGATAGAGTGTGAGAACTTTTCATGTCATAAATACTTGACATTTGTAACGTATTCAATTATGCGTAGTATTTTGTAAATTTCTATTGGTTAATGAAACGTTCTTATTACACGAGAATTGAATACTCAGTAGCAACTGAGTACTGCTTGTATCTATCGTAGTAAATACGATTGATTAATCAAACACATATAACTATTCTTCGATTACTTTCATCTTCTTCCTTCTTGTTTTAATATGCGATATACGTAGATAGTAACCGTAACCTATGATGACATGTCAAATACGTTATAATATGACGCTCGAATGAAAGCCAATAATAAGTTCCTTCGATATGATATGTCACTATCTCTTGAGTAGATAAATTATGCTAAACTTGACACAACAAATGTTTATCAAAGTACCGCGAATTTCATAATAGTAATTGCATGATAAATCTAGACACGAACGTTGACGATCGAACGATTTCTAGTCGCAACATGAACTCCAGTATATTCCGCGCCTGAAAATCATGTGATCATCTAAAGACGGCAGAGACATCTCTTAACAAACGAAAGAACAAAAACCAGCGACACGTGGCGCGATCAGTCGACAAGAATGCGAAAAACGAAACAGCGACATCGAACGTCAACTTTGTTATACGAACACTAAGAAGAATCGCACACAAGCAAACAGCCACCCTTCGGAACTGCTTGCCCCCTACCCCACGACCCCTTGACAAACCCTCAATCTCAGAGATCCTGACGTCAAGCGAAAGAAACAACGCCCTTTGTCTTTGGTTCGAAAATAACAACTACTACAAAAAAGCTGACATTTTGTACGTGCGCCCTCTTTGCATAACATGGTGTAATCTTTGTAACGCGCGTAATGTTGTTGCCTGCTTTTCATGGCAGTTTGCATCACACGAGCACGTTGTCAATTTATCGTTTCCACAAATTGTCGACTCACCGTCTCATTTTCTACGATACACATAGGCTCCACTTCCATGATCCCCGTGAATTTGCTCCTTCTCGTTGTTTCTCAAGCAAATTTTTCGTGACACGCTTTGTTAAATCTTGATTCTATCGTATTCTCAACACTTTGCAATAGCAACGTGTATCTGTTTACAAACACCGCAAGGTCATACAGCAGACCCCCAGACCTCTGACTGTCGGGTATTTCATATTACGTCACGATCACGGATGATAGCGCCACTTGCGGTGAAACCATAAAATGTTATGAAGGGATCCTATTCAAAGTTAACTGTCGGTAAGTAATCAAACCGCGAACAAATTTCAGCACTTTTCAGCGTAGAAAGCATATATACATACCTACAATGAAATCATTCATTTATAATGTTTCTTATTTCCTTTAAAACTTATTTCCTATTAAACTATATAATACAGAAATGCATTGTATATTAAATCTATCTATTGTATCTCATCTATGACGAAACACACTTCAATTTTTTGAAAATTCAGACATTTGATGTTTTTAATCAATTTCAAATCCGAGATGATTCCATGAATATAACCACGAAAATAATGTGATTAACATCACTTTTAATGCAAAATATTTTTTTTGTATAATCCGTTATTTAGTTCCAAAATTTTTAATGAAAATTAACGCTATCGTCACAGAAGATTTAGAAACATGTAATATGAGTGAGAATTCTCAATTGGACTCTGAATATAACTGGATCGTTCGAACTTGTACGAATGCTTTTAATGTATATTTAACTATGCTGCATTTTACTCTCTACGATAACACCGTAAATATGCAACCAAACATCACACGTAAGTAGCAGACGACTTCGCAGAAAGGACATTTTCATACAAAAATTAAAATGGCTATAAAATTATCAAAGTTAAAGTACCGTTTTTATAATGAATTTAATAAAGTTGCAGAAGCCTTGTCGTATCCTTTATTCATGATGGTGGTAGACCTTCTGGTGTACTCTATATTGCAATGAATATTAAAAATTAAATCAGTTCAAAATAAGTATGGACATATAAAAAATAGTTTTATTATTAAAAGTACAAACTTGCATCTTTACAACTTTACATCTAGTATTGCATCTATACTTTACGTTGCAAAATCAAGTTCTAAATTCCGTGATATGCATTATTAAAATCATTCCTATATTTCTTTAAGTATTCGTTATCATCAAAATCGCCTCGATTGTTTTTAGTGTAAACACTTGTATAAGGGTGATATATTTCTTGTTGGTAATCTCTTTGTCGATGTGGAAAATATCTAAGAATAAACAAATTATTAATAATTAATAGCCTGTTTCATATCAATGAATATCTTAGAAATTATATGAAATTACCTATAATCTTTTAAATAAGGTATAATGTACGGATTTTCTCTGTAATATCCTCCAAGTAATGTATCCACGTAATGATGCGAATATCCGAGCGAGGGCACACGATCGTTATTACGATAAGTAATTGGACAATGCCTTTCTTTATGATTGTATATATCTTCCTTATTTTTATCAAAATAATGTCGTGCTTCGTTCCTCAGATAATTCCTTCTATCATCTATATATCGATCGTTGTTATATCCTTGGATATGACCATGATAATCGTTAATACTAACGTGAAACAAAATCATATTTTAATTATTCATACTTTAGTTTCATGTAGATAAATAACAAATATATAAAACATTATTTTATATACTCGATTTACATGCATATTATCTTTGCTAAAAATTGTTAATGAAATAAAAATAACTTGCTAGTACACTTACTTTTTCCTATTGTCATATATTCCCTGTTGTGCCTTATCTTTTTCAAGGTAAGATACATCGCGCGAACCGTCCCTAAACGAGTTCTGCGATTTTTGCCCATAATATCCACCGGTATTCCCGGACGACCTATGCCCCCCTTCGTCATCCCTGTCCTCGTAAAAGCTTGAATTATTTCCTGACTCGTCCTTATGGTAGTTGTTGCTGAAACCGGTCCTGTGATGCCCTTTTTTGTAATATCCACTACCATGCCATTCAAAAGAATTCTTCTCGTGATCGACGACTTCGAATTCTCCTAAACTATGCCTTCCTTTGTCATGCCCTTTCTGTGCTGTATCTTGGTTGCCGTATCTCTTTTCATCTCGCTTACGTTCATTAAATCCTAGTTGCCCCCTATTATAAATGGAACTACTTTCCTTACTTGTCTTCTCCTCGTCGAAAATTGCATACTCTTCATCGGTCTTTTTTTGCACAGAGTCTGACAAAGAAGATCTTGATTGTTCGTTATTCTGCGGAGCAATCAAGTCAGATGCACAAAACCTGCGTTGGATAAAGAAAAAGAGCACGATATAAGAAATGAAATAGCTGTTAAATGAAAGAAATGAAAGAAATGAAAGAAATGAAAGAAATGAAAGAAATGTTAAAAAGCAAGCGTCAGTAGACTGTTTGTTCCAGTCAGTTTAATCAATTATATAGAGGCAAATGTTCTTGTTTAAGAGTGACAGAACTAAACGCATCCTGTATGCATGGATTAAAAGATCCGTAGGTTCGATAAATCGGTATGACCTTCGAGTTTTTTGTTCGGCTCTACGCATTAAGAAGTTAACCCATTGATCAATGAAGCGGAACAAATATTTTACGAAATCACTGTATAACAAATAATTAATGCAATTTATTGAAAATTTGTAAGAATAGAAACAATATGTTTTATCTTCTTATGTATTTTTTTTGTTTTCTATTTATTCTGTTTGAAACACTCATTACTTTAAAATCTTTTACTGTTTTAATATATTAAAACTTACAAATAATACAAAAAAAGCTTGAAATAAATTACTGATACGTTTATCATATAATATTTACAACTTTCAAACGTTGTTGGAGGCACATCTACAATATACTTGTCGGACAAAGGTAAAGGTAAGAAATATATCGGTATTGTAAAAAATATTCAAAACTTATATTTTAAGTCGTCTTCGTGAAAATTCTCGATGAAGAATTGTACAAGACGCTTAATCATACTCTAAGTATCGCAAAGGTAAGATGCGAGGGGAAAGAAGGTGTGGTATATAATACAATCACTAATCATCTTCGTGTTTCAAAAATATTGTAGCTCTTTCTAAACAGTACTTTCACGCACATTCGCTCTTACACTCTGATTATTAAAATCAACAAGATTAATTAAATCTCATACCAATTATACAGGTTTATAATTTTGAACACAATTTAATAATTGTTCTAGCTAAAGCTTCTAAAAGTGTTCAGTATTAAATACATTAAACACATTTGATTCCATTTCTTCTTCTTGCATTTATAAATTGCGCATCGATGTTAACAGTAGTCTGTCGTTCTACCATAACATCTTTTATTTTATATTTAACAAGCAAATTATATGATCTGCTTGTACGTCCAAATTAAATTGGAAGTCAATGATTTTAATTTCGAACATGTATATATCGAAAAATATACATACACATCTCCATCATTCTGTTCATTAACTCACAAAATGATAACCGTTCGTGCGCAAAAGGAACACCGTTTTCAAATATATTTTTATCGCTTTGTGATTTAGGGTGGTTATGTATTTATTATATATTTATTAGGTATTATGAAAAAATAAATTTATTATCCCACATTTTTTATATTCTGGCAATAAGCAAAATTAATCGAAACGCTTCGTAATTCGGTTTTTAGATGAAACAATGTTGTAATGGTTTATCGCTTAATCGGTTAATTATTGGCAAGTAATTAAAATTGTTAAGCAATTACGCCGTCAAATAAAAAAATGTATCTATATAGACCACCCCATTCACGGCGATGAATGGACGTCAACTTATATACAAAGGTTTATAGGATTAATATACTTCCATAATTTATGCTTACTCTGTACACGCGCTTTTTCAAATTCCTACGAATGAATATATTTACAGAATTTGGCGGTTTGTTAAAATATTTAAAAATTGGTGCGATCAATGCGATCGCGGCACGCTATTTATCTGTTAAATATGATTTTGGTCGTCGATAATAACGCGACTTGTAATAATGGAAGAAGTTCTGATTAGTTTCACACTAATTTGTTTTTCATCAAAAATAATACAGATCTACTAAAAAATCCGCCTATAGATCGTTATGAAATTATTATCTGTTCACTGGCATTTTCATTCTGTTCAACATAATTTATATCTATAGTGCAAATGTGTGTTAGATAATATTACCATTGTGTGTCTTCTTTAGACTTTAGTTTAATGTCCTTTTTTAAATATAAGCGTGAATATTCATCTTGGTAAGTAGCACATTGTGTGTTCGACTTGTTAGATTTTTGTATATTACTGCTAATTGGTGAATTACTTGGTGAATACTTCATTTCTTGTAATTCTTGCAGTTCTTTTAACGACCTCATCACCATTTGAACATCTTTTTCTTGCTCCGTTGGTTGCACCGCGCTGCCTATTGGATCATCCAAAATAAGTCCAATATCTTTTCGTTTATCTGATATTCCTCTTGATGATACATCATCATTAAAAATTTGACTTAAATAATTAGTAGCAGCAATTGTTTCTTCATTTTGTCTCTGTTCCTGTTCTTCTTTCGTAAGTGATGGCTGTTGCTGCTGTTGTTGTATAGGCACTACATCCGAATTAACATATCCTACCTGTTTATCTAATACCTTTTGATCCTTTTTTCTTTTTTTAACATCATGTGATTTATGTTTACTTTCTGCACATCGCTCCCGCCTTTTGTCCTTCCTCTCAGTCTTATTGACCAAATCAATATCTTTATCTTCTAATCTTTTATTATTTTTTACGTCAGTGTTCTCATGTAGCAGTCTGTGTTTTAAAGATACCGCTTTCGAAAGTGAAGATGCTTGATTCGATGCGGAATAATTAGAATGCTGTGACTGTGCACATGAATATGAAGCTTCCTGTCTGTGTACGGAATGATGTCCACTTTGAGGCACTTCATTTGTATTTGGAAGAACATTCGAAGTTTCAGGATAAGCAGTAATAGAAACTACATCCTTCTTATTTTCACTTATCTTCGTAGATGGCTTGTGAAAATCATTAACTGGCGTAATAGAAAGAGAACTATTAACTAGGTCCATCAAATTAATCTTTTCTACGTGACTTTTAACCGGCTTTTGAGCCATTAGCTGAGCTGTAGGCACAACAGAAATTTTACCTACACTGGAATTATTAGCTGCCGCCGTTGAGTTCTCGTGATACTGCCCCGAACTACCAGTATCTTTATTCTTATCTTTATTTTTTATACTATGTTGTTTTTTTTCTATACTATCACTTGATTTTGTAGTTAACTGTTTTACATAACTAGTAGAATTTTCTGTTACGTTTTGAATTTTAGATGCATTCGCTGAGACCTTTTCTTGTGAAGAAGCGGCACTTATACTTGATGATTCAACTCTTGTAGAGCTGTACATCACATTTTCTGAAGAATTAGTGGCATTACCATTGCCAACTTCTTTCAGTTTTTTTGTTTTCTTTTTCGTGCTAGAAACAAATCATTTTGTTATAGCATGTAGATTTTCTAAAAGAAACACATTCCAACTTTTTATAATGCTACTCACGTAGGTTCAGCTTCATCAACAAACTTCAGCAATGCCTGTGCTGTCATGTATCCAGGTGGCCATAATGGTAACACTTGGCGAACCATGAAAGATCCAACATAAGTATACATACTTAATTTTCTTGGTCTTAAAACATTGTAACAATGACTTTTTATACTTGCAATCTCAGATACAAGTTTTCTATAAAAAGAAAAAAAGCAGGAATTTGGTATATAACTTTTTATAATATTAGGCTATGCGCGCACTAGTGACAATCTGTCATGCGACAGTTTTATCGTTTACGAAAAGGTTATTCGTTTATATGGACGTGCACGCATTTGACGACGCAACTGCATGACGACATTTTTGTTATAAGAGGAAGAAGAAATTGAACTTTTAATCGATGCGAGTGAGGATGACAATTTGTCGATAGTGCGCGCGAAGCTTAACGCAAATAAAATTCTCTGAAAATTTACTTTGCTTCTTCAGTCCAAGGAAATTGTTTCTTAGGAATTTTCGGTTTATCTATATCCTCACAAATATCCTCATCGTCGGAACTTTCAACATCTTCAGGTGACCCTTCTACTTCCCTGAAATAGAAATATCAGTTATCGATAAATAAAAATGGAAGAATTGTAAAGAAATTGATAATACGACAATGATGAAAGAATGATGATCAGCATTTATTGTGATAGAATACCGTGATCTGAAAATTTTCTGTGTAAGAGCATATTATGTGAAATCCTAGATAAAAAAATGTACAAGGCAGTGTACATGTGACCACTAAATCAAATTTCAGTAAACTTAAAATTTGATTGTGTTATAAAAAGAATAATGCTTATGATAAATTAAACACTGATACTGATGATAAGCCCCGCCTTTTCGCTATCTCAATAAGAACAATAAACAATATTTTTCAATTTTTGTAATATAGAGATTATTTTCAAAAATATGGGATATTGAGATAGCATATATAAATATATATATATATACATATGTAAGCATGAGTAAAGTATAGGGGCAACTAGAAAGATCAAAGAAAAAGAAGATAATTGGAAGGTGAAAATAGAAAAGGTTTCCTCTTACGAGGGACACCTTACCAACAGTACCGATATATATCCCAGTATAAATGAGGACTAAGAAATAAAAAATTATTGTAAGTTCCCATCCAAAATTACGTTGGCGCTTAATTTATACTTTAAAATTACAAATATGGTATAATTTCTAATTTTCTCTTTACGGATTTATTTCTTTATTAATTATAAAAGTGTTTAAAAGGAATACTTACTTTCCTTCAGCAACTTTTTTACACTCATCTACATATTTGCATCCCACAGATGGCATTATTTCGTCGATTACTGTTTTTAACCTATACCAATATTAATGAAAATCATTATTAAATAAAATACAGTAACTGTTAAACAAATTATAAAAACTACATAAGTTATGCTTCTAATAATGTATAATGCTACCTTTGTATAAGATCTCTAGCTTTGTAATCGAGATCCTGCACAAATAATTTCTTTGCTCTATTTTGAAGTGCTGCTTTACTACATGGTAAAAATCGTGCAAGATGCCCATACGTTTGTGGCCTCAAGCTTGGAGGCGAAAGCGCCCTCAATCTTTTCTCTAAACTGAAATAAAAATTCTGAGGTTTACTTTTCCAAAATATAAAATATTATATTGCAATTACTTACCTTAACAATAATGTATTCACTGTTGTATTGAAAAATTTAGTTTTTCCTTCTTTACTGTTTTCGGCACATGCCTTCAACTTATTAACTATTTCTACAACATTTTCTGGAAGAGAATCAGGCAATGGTGCTTCTTCTTTATCAATATCATCACATTCAGATTCAGTACCTATACAACGAGATTTGCCAGAATCTGTTGTGTCTCTACTTGATTCATCTTCCACTCTTGCAGCATTCACTACACTCTCTATTGCATCATCAATGTTACTATCCTTACCACCTAATTTTTTTAATTCTAACTTTTTGCCATCGAAACCATTAGTATTTGAGGTCTTTTTTTCACATTTTTTTATATCAAACTTTTTATCCGAAGTATTTTTAGTTTTTTGTGTATCTACTTTATCAGATTTCTTTTTGTCTTCTTGATCTTCTGAAACTAAAATTTTTGTTACTGTAATTTTTATATTACAATAATATTGTAATTATTTTACAAATATCGTATAAGTACATTACCTTCAGCATCTGTAGTTTCTCCTTTCTCTTTCCGTCTGTTTAAGGTGTCTCCATCTTGTTGAAAATTTTGCTGATCTTGAGAATTCTGTTGCTTTTTCCTTTTTTTAATAATGTTTTCATGCGTTTGTTTTTTCTCTCCATTTTCGTCTATCTTCTGTTTCTAAAAGAATAACAAAAATACTTTAATATAGAATAATAGTGAAATAAATAATATTATATCATAACTCCAATTACTTTTCTTGGTTGATCACCAGTAATATCTTCAGTATCATCCTCATCCGATGAACTAATATTTCGTTTATCTGATCTTTTAGGGCTATCCACATCTTCTGTATCCTCTTCGCTACTTTCACTGCTTTCTTCATCATTGCTCTGATTATTGTTATTATTATTATGAACTAATACATGTCTATCAGCTGATTTAAATTCAAGAGGTCCACAATTGATGTAAAAGCCTCCATGTGCTGTAGTCATCTCTTCTGGTACAATTTCATCATACTAAAATGATTAAATGATGTACAAATACTATAAAATATACATTAAACAACATGATAATATTTAATATGTTACATACTGCATCAGTATTGTCAATGAAAGAGTCATTTTCATCATATCCAGCTCCCAAATCCACATAATCCTCATATTTATGTCTTTTTTTGCCCATGGTAGAAGTTCCCTGTAAGGATCAAAGGATATTCATTATTCTTTCAATGATGAATAAATTCTCATACATTCTATGTCATAAATTTTTTAAAAATTACGTTTCACATACATATTTCGCTTCAAATCGTCTTGCCATATCTCGTAATTTATCATCATCATCGTCGTCATCAAAAGACAGTCCATTGGTTGCATTTTCATCTCCTCGTTTTAATTCCTTCCTACGTTTTTTCTGTAAAATAACATTATTTATTTATTTATTTAATGCGAATAAGATGAACTATTTGTGGATGTTATTCGTGCGCTAACTCTTAACGCATGGATAAATCGCGGCTCATTTCAATTTCGTCGCGCGCTTTCACTATTTTAATAAACATTAAAGAATGGTTTACTTTACACACGCGTTGTTCATCAATGACATTCATAACAAGCAGATTTCGATGCATAAAATTCAAATATTGAAATGGATCATATAGATAAATTAATATGTTCTGCAATTTATTTATTAATAAATAGTTAAACAAAGAACTGTCGATAAAATATTAATAAAATATAGTAGATTTAGAATGAACATTAAGAAACGTAAGTACGAAAAAGAAGGATAAATTAATTCAAAAGAGGGCATAAACTGTCCATTCATACTAGGAGCACATACTACGTGTAGAATGTCACTGTTGCTCTTTCTTTTGAAACGCGCAACTCCCTGTTATCTTCTGCTCTCCTAGTACTAGAGACGCCACAACCAGTGATTGATCCCAACAAAAAAAAATACATTTATCGGTAAATTCTAACTAAATGCATTAAATTATAAACAATATTTCAAATAAATTGTATCGAACAAATATAATTATGTAAGTTTCAAAAAAATTTAGCATTAAAAGATTTGAAACATAGCACATAAATATATGTTAATAACGCAATATAAATTTGTGTAATTTTATTGTTAATATTTATGTATTATTTCATTTCTATACAATAATGGTTGTATCTTATATGTAATATTACGTTACATTGTTAAATAAATAACAATGATCTTCTGAAAAAATCTTTTTTCAATGCATACAAGATTTAATTAATTTTTATAATATTTGTACCAACAAAAATGAAAATTTTAAAACAATTTTTTTATAATTTTGAGTTTAAAGCTATATAAAAATGAGTCACTAATTTTCGGCTTCAACACAAATCTGATCAAATAGGTTATAACTATAAATCGTTGAAAGTTAACACAAAGTAATAGATATTTTAAAATAACGTACATTTTGTGAACTTAAAACAGGATAGTGTTTTACTTCTCTCGAATAATGCAAGTGCTTTATACTCTATTGAATATAAGAAGAATAAAATATTAAAATATGTAAGATATATAATATAAATAACATTATAATTGATATAATATAAAATAAAATAACGAAAGAAACGAAAAGAAGATCGAATAACACTATTGCACAATATTCATATAATGCGAATCAATGTGTTCTAACTGTTTTAAGCCGACAGTCACGAGTTGTCTACGGTACATCGATCATAAAACTAATAATGATATACTCTACGTACATGCATAAGATCACTGAGATAAGATACAGACTAAACTATTACGTACACACATAAGAAAAAAGCTATTAATGAAAGTATCATGCTTAGTAAAACAAAATAAACACGTCCCGAAGTAATGTGAACGACTGTTTCAATGAACTCACGATACTGGATAGTATTCGATTGTACCCTAATATTTCTCTAATTTCTTACATATACATATGAAAAAATGATTACCATGAAAACAAGTATTAAACAATTATTCATAACTTTAAAATGAAACATTGAACAGACATTGTTTCCATGTTAGCATACGTTAACGCGGACATCCACCGGCAATGCGTTCTGACGTTTCTATTCGATGGCTTCGAATTGATCACATCTTTTTCTATCAGTTTAGACATAATATTCGTATATCCTCTCTAGCAGAAGATGTATGCGAATAAGAATAGCGCACATATTGTGGGACTGTCGGAGCTCACGCGGTAGCCGCGACATGACAATTCACTTGAGTAACGGATACAAGTACTCTGCGTTTCATGCAGCCTGAAAATGGGCGATTCCATTGGCATTTTTGCAGTTTCTTGTCAAACTAAGTACGTGAAACGAAATCATAACCGGTGTCTGAGGTAAAGCTAAATGTGTTGGTAAACTTGACCGTATGGATAGGCATAATGGGCTTTATTTTCCTTTGGACAGATAAACGGAGTGAAAGGAAGAACTGACCTCGGCTGCTTTGAGGAGTTGTGCATAGTTGAACTCAGGACATGCCTTCTCGTTCGACTCTGGCAGGGTAAGTGTAAAGCGGAAGGAGGGCGCGAGCTGTTTGCCCTTTTCCCCTTTTTTCTCCTTTTTCGCGACGTAGCCCAAGGACTCCGGTAACTCCAAGGTCTGCAAAGGTACCCTTTTAGCTTCTGACATTCCTACATTTGCACCGAACTTAACGCGGATTACGGAAACACTGCGAACACTGCGGCAACAACATGGTCCTTTCTCTCAAACACCGCATCGACACCGCCACTCGCACGTCGCCATCTTCGGCTCGACTGTTTTTAGAGTGCGCTGTTGATGCCGCCGCCACACCGTAAATTTCACGCATGCGCCTCACAATGCAAATAATCTTAAACAGCGTTTCCATTCAACAATCGTGATACTTTACATGGAAACAAGTCCGATCATTTCGATAAATTATTGGAGATTATCAAATTAATTAATTGCTTTAACACCACATTATACATTAATATTGTATATGTATGTGAATTTTATTGAAATAAAAGATATTTCAATTCATTCCCTGATTATAAATAATATCCTACTAATTGAAATAAAGTTACAGCAATTTAATTTGTATACGTCATTTATTAAGAACTTTCGCTAACAGCTTTTACAAGTTGTCACCACGTCTATACAATTCATCGATATAAAGATCATGTTTACTATAATATAATAACCCTATCTTGTGTATAATAAACATTTCGTTCTACTATTTATACTCCAATGCCTGCAATGGTAAAACATGTCAGTTGTGCCAATCATAAAATGTCCACATAAAATAAGAATGATTAAGTTCTATAAAATACGCAGTCTGTATAAAATATAAGAAGCATTTTACGTAAATGCTAAATATGTTTTCAGTCACTTATTTAACTAGAAGTATTTGGATTATTTCCAAAATTTTCTTGTTTCTTTGCAATCTTAATTTCCGAAAATTGCTGACCTAAAATTTTCATCACTTCAGCATGTTTTACGTTACGTTCTTTTTTTATAGAATTATAGTTTTCTTTAACATAAAGCGCAAACGCCGAAAGTTCTCTTTTCGGAGTTTGCATTTGTACAGTCCCAGATTTTGTTGTTTTGTTTAATAATAATTCGAATTTTCCATAGCAATGACCACATCGTTTTTTTTCGATATCCAAAGATTTGGAATGTCTACCAATACTGTAATAAAATTCAAAATAATTCAAACACATATATATATATATATATATAATTATAAGTTTCGAAGATATATATATATATATATATATATATATATATATATATATATATATATATATATATATATATATATATATATATATATATATATATATATATATATATATATATATATATATATATATATATATATATATATATATATATATATATATATATATATATATATATATATATATATATATATATATATATATATATATATATATATATATATATATATATATATATATATATATATATATATATATATATATATATATATATATATATATATATATATATATATATATATATATATATATATATATATATATATATATATATATATATATATATATATATATATATATATATATATATATATATATATATATATATATATATATATATATAAATATATATATATAAATATAAATGTAATATATATATATATATATATATATATATATATATATATATATATATATATATATATATATATATATATATATATATATATATATATATATATATATATATATATATATATATATATATATATATATATATATATATATATATATATATATATATATATATATATATATATATATATATATATATATATATATATATATATATATATATATATATATATATATATATATATATATATATATATATATATATATATATATATATATATATATATATATATATATATATATATATATATATATATATATATATATATATATATATATATATATATATATATATATATATATATATATATATATATATATATATATATATATATATATATATATATATATATATATATATATATATATATATATATATATATATAAAATATAAATGTAATATATATATATATATATATATATATATATATATCTTCGAAACTTATAATTAGATAAGTTATGTATGTATATGTTATTAATCTTATACAATGCATTTTACCTGTATCCACAGCCTACACATTTATATGTAAATTTTGTTTTAATTTCGTAATCATGACACCTTCTTATCGGAGGTAGTTCAGGAAATACTTTCATAGCTTTATTGGCCCTAAAAGTAATTAATTAAATTAATATTTTAGTGAATGTGTGAATAATTAATTATTATAATATACCATTTTGTCCAAAATGGACCATGTCCATCAGAAACCCCATTTATCAACCATGCAGCTGCATGACACATTTCATGAATTAAGGTATCTCTAAGTCTGTCTGGAGTATCTAAAATCTATGTATGAAAATTTAATTAATACATATCTCAAAAAATTTCTTAAAAACCATATAATCATACCTTTGTTGCCAAAACTATTCGTGAAGATCTTACAATACCACCAAGTGTTCTCACTGATCTTTTGTTATAACAAAAACCAGCAGTTTCTCTCATACGAACATTCCACTCCATTGACATGTCCTTTGGTAACTCATTATCAAATACTTTTTCATTATATAATTTATACAAATAATTGCACAAATCTTCTTTGTTATTTTTATAATGTAATCTGTATTTTTTAGCATCTGGATGTACATTAGCAAGAGAAACACTTTGAGCCAAAGATGCCAGGAAGCTGGTACATTTTTCATACTTTGAATTATCAGAAGTTAATTTACTTTGAGTATTTAATTTAAATAATTGCTGTCTAGCTTTAGTAGAAGCTATAAAAATATTTTTCCATATTAGATACATCATACATAACATTATGTAAATAACGTGAATATAGGTTACTTTTCTTAATTGTAGATTTTGGTGGTACATCGTCACCAGGATCAAATTCACTAGTGCTCGATCCTTCACTTTCATCATTACTAAATGACAATTTTCTTCTTCTTATGTTAAATATTTGATTATCATTGTGTATATTACCTTCATCTTCAGTATCTGAATCACATATTGCAAGAACTCTAGAAATAAAATGTTATAGTTATAAAAATTTCATTTTTTATAGATATTTACTCTAAAAATATAATTGTTTATTACCGCCGTGCAATTTCTGGAGCTGTCAGTTTTGATTGTGTATTATTTTTTGATACCCTTGGATTCGTCAATGCAGTATAGTACAAACTTTCACATCCACTTTCTGATGATGTTTCATCTTTAATAAAGTTATCTCTCCTCTTCGTATTTTTCCGCACATCCTTTTTTGTTGATGAATTTCGTAATTTCAAATCGTTTAGAGCTATTGAATTAAAATTAATTAGAACTGCCTTTTTATCCATCTTTTTAAAATAAACATAAAATTTAGTTTCATAAAAAGTATAGTATAATTACTCACATGCGTTAAAATCGTCATCTGAATCTGGTATGTAAAATCTTTCCCTCTTTGTAATCTTTCTGTAACAATTGATATTTATAAATATTAATTAGTAGATTATTATTAATTAATTATATATTATGATACTATATTTTTTACTATAACACTTGCGAAGTACCTATCAGTTTGAACTGCTCTATTTTTTGTTTTAATTATTTGTTTACGTGGTTCAGAGTTCGGAAACAATACATCAGCTTTATTGCGCCAAGATTTGCCATATAATTTATCTAATATATCTGCACAATCCATGATATCTATGTTTTGTGGTACATTCATTGTAGAATTCGTTGAAGTTGACACATTATTATCAATATGACTTTTTTTTAATGTAGGTAGCTCAAGATCATTATGTTTTGTTCTTTGGACAAATTCATTTATTGTATTCTGATGTGGTACTGTATGGTAAAATGCTTTATTATAATCTGGATTTGTAGTTTTACTTTCTCTTACAGGAAACTGATGTATCCTTCCTCTATTATTTGGAGTTTCATAATTCATCTCTAATCTTTCCAGACTACTATTACCAGAACTTATATCATTTGTATTAGTAAGAGGCACAATACCAGGTGAACTATCACTTTGGGAATCACTTTGTGAATTAGCCATGAGCCATTGTGAAATCTGTTTTTTTTTCCTCTCTGATAGTTCAGTATATGTTGGCCCTTGATTTTCTTTTGCACATGTTTTACTCAAAAATTTACTAACATGGGTTTTATAAGGATTTGTTAGATTCACCTGAGAGCCTTGAATAATATCAGTCTCAGAATCTATTGTATCTTCATCGATAACTATATTGTTTGCTTTTAACTTATTTTTTGGTGAAATAGCTGGATGTATGACATTGTCATCTATCTCCTTATCCAGCGAAACATTTTTCTCTTTTCTAACTTTTGGTGATTCATATATTAATCGTGAAGATTTTATATTTTTTAGAATATTTTTAGCATCTTCTCGTGAAAGTTTCTTCTTAAAATCAATGCAGTTCCTATTCGTAGCAGATGTAGTTTTAAATGATCGATCAATACTACCAGTATTCTTAGAATTATTAACATCATTATTAATAGTATCCCTATGAGATTTGACATTTGTATCTGCCATGCTTTTAACAATGTTTTCTGTAGTAGAACTGACATAAGTGCTACTAGTTTTATTAGAAGATATAGAAGGTATATCTTCTTTGATACACTCAATACTGGAAGATTCATCAGATGTATATAATATCTCATTGTCTTTTGCAATATCTTTTCTTTCTTTGTAATTACTAACAAACTGCAATTTTTCATTTATCTTGCATGTTTTGAAATACTTTTTATCTGTAGTCTCTGAAGACTCAGAATCTGAAGAATCTAGAATATAAATCTTATCGTCTGTTGGAATATGTTTATTTGATGCAACTTTTGATGTAGAAGCATACTTAGAAACAGAACAAGTTGAATTAGAGCTAGAATCACTTATTACTATTACATCTTCATCATCATTTACTTTTTGAGAATGAGATATAGCAGAATCTTGTGACAACTTCAAATAAAAGTTTTGTGAGCTACAAAGAGATTCTTCCATTTCTTTATCAGATTGTAGTTTCATATTATCATATCTAATATATTTTTCATTCTGTTTTTTTCAAATTTTGCGTCATAAGATATTCCATCCCCTATTAAAATTAATACATGGGCTTATAAGAAGTATCACATTAAGAAATATATTTAACGTTTAAACATTACAAAATATGTTTACTCACCATAATTAGTTATGCTTTGTTAACAAATAATCTTAAAATAATATTCCAGACTCCAGTAGATATTTTACTATCGTTTCATATTTCATTTAAAATACATCTGTATATAAATGAAGGGCACGTGTGTAAACAAAAACAAGTACAATACAAAACAATAAAATCATCACACGCACATGACGAAAATAAGAAAATGTTATATTAAAACAGTTACATTAAAACTTGTATTACATCATAATGCAAAGAATCACGTTGCATTTTTGTATAAATTATGTTATAATAACTTTGAAAGTCAAACTTATAAGTCCAGTGACCAGTACTATTCGAACGAGACCGTTAAAATTTGGAATCAGTATATGCAGCTAGTTACATTAAAAAAGAACTAGAAAGTTACTGGGATCTATATTGATAACATTACACTGTCGATAAATTATTATGTGAGATAATTTGTATATAATATAATCACTTTTTACTCTATATTATGATTTATTTACTTGTCTATTTTTCTAAAGAAAATGTTATATTTTTATAAAATTTACTTTCTTCCAAATTTAACAGATCGAAAATTGCAAAAATTTTTATATGATTATTACAATTATCAATCAATAGAAAATCTATCTTCCGTGATATATGAAATTACTTTTTCGAACGTTCCAACAAAAATAAAGAAATACACGTTTTTCTCCTTAATGATTCATGAACCTTACACGAAGAACAGCGACGTTTCTCAAACCGTTAACCAAAACGAAAGAAAAATACCAAGGAAAATCTTTGGAATAGAAATGGAAATGTATTAAGCACCTATAGCAAACAACTAATACGAACATAAAATAATGAAAATTAAACTTTTCCTATTGTTGTCGCACGTTCGCGGGGAGACACGATCTCGAAGAAGCGCGCCAACGGGAGTCGTAAATTCCCGTTACGATTTGCTAATCGACGCCGCAAATCGTTCGATCTCTTATTTCTTTTGGGATAATAAGGGTAGTTAAATGAAAGATAACGCTGTTGCTAACAGGTTATTATATATTTTCACAAACCAACAACTTCGGTGTAACACAAAATGAATATTTGCTATGAGATGACTACGAATGAGTGCGACCTGAGTCTCTAGACGGATTATCGCGTATACTGATGGATTTGTCGACTCATTGTATTCGAATTGTTGACTGCTTGACGAGATGCTTGATTGAGACTGACTGATCTTCGGGTGTAAACCCGGTCGAAGGATGTAAAATCAGTGATGTTCGGAGGCGATGCTGTGGCGGAGGAAAGCTAAGGATGGGTGTGTCTAGTGCACGGGACCATCGGATTTGTTGGTGACGATTTTGGCTAAGAGAGTGAAGGAAGTAGTCTTTGTTGTTAATTGGTTAAACGAAGGGTCTTAACCCTCGAGAGAAAGTGGTTAGTGGGAGGAAAGTTGCATCGTACGTGAGAAAAACTAACTTTCCCTTGTCAAGCCGTAGTAGACAAAGGTCTTTAGAAATGCTTCGGAAACAGACGTTTGTTTGGTTTGAAGGACCTCGACTAGGAAATTCCTGAGATTTATGGAAGATACTTGAGACTATTGAGGGTACGCAGTGAGTATCCGAAGACATCTGGTTGCCATCTTGCCCGCGGACATCAGGAGAGCCAGTCTGGATCCAAGATCAGTTCAAGTCAGTCTTCACAAAACATCAGCTTAAGTCAGTCGTCACCAAGGATCCACTCAAGTCAGTCGAATACAGTCAGTCGACACAACACATTATTCACTTGTATTACACCGAAGTTGTTGGATTGTGCAAATATATAATACCTGTTAACAGCAGCGTTATATTCAAGTTAACTATCCTTATTATCCCACAAGAAATAAGGGATCGAACGATTCGTGGCGTCGATTAGTCAATCGTAACGGGAATTTACGACTCCCGTTGGCGCGCTTCCTCGAGATCGCGTCTCCCCACGAACGTGCGAATTTACAGTTAGTAAGTAGACTTATTTACAAAATTGTAGCTAAATAGCGATTGATTTCTATGCAGTGTATGACGTTTATCGATTCAAAAACCATACTAATGGTGTACTTGTTACAATCAGAGGTACAATCAAATAGTATAGAGATCTTGTTGAAAATGGAGTGATCCATAATCATAATTTATCATAGCCGTTTGAAATTCCTGTTTGAGTACTTTAACAATTTTACGTTTGTTTCTCCTCATTATGGCGTGTTATATTCGAAACTTATTGACAATCGTTCATTATATCAAAGATAGGAATCGAATACAGTGACTAAAGTTAAACTTGATTAGATTTTAATCGAAGTTGGAAAGTGTTGCTTCTAACTTTTGTAAATAGATATCGCGAAATTCACTACAAGTTTTAAGTTTCAACAATTTCAAAAGAAATAATTAATTTGATTGTCCGGTATCGAAGAAAATTTGTTAAAGGAAAGAGGATCGATACCTTCGATAAGTATTAATAACTACTAAGGAAAGTTGATTGAATTGACTCTCATTAACATGTAATAATATGGTTGCATTAATTGAAGGTGAACAGTGAAAACAATCTTTTGTAGGAACAAAAGATTAAAATTCATCAATAAATACAGTCATATATACATGTTTTGTACTTCAGATTTTACACAAATTCGTTTCTTTATTTTTGGTATTCGATTATACAAAATTTCAATGTCGCCAAACGTATCGTTAAATATTTTTCCAAGATTTTCATCAAGATAAAATTTCTTCTTGATGTTCGACTGTAAACCTCTCTGATCCTGGAAATGTTAACAATGAAGTTGCGAAAACTTTTAAGCTTGGCGATCCGTTCGACCGTATATTTTCCATCCTTGTGACGAAAAGATACCGATGAAGATCTTTTTCGTTAGTTCGCTCGAAAAGACTTTCCATGTTTTGCATGGTAAAAAGCTCTTGGGATTTTTGAAGTAAGGATAAGGGAAGCAAGTTCCATTTTAGACGATAGATAAGTGAATACAATCGATTTTTTTTCTAAGTGCCGGCTACAATCTAATGGGATGTTTACACGTGTAACAGATTCACAGTGAATGCATTGATAATGTTGCGTTCCATGGTTTGGAAAAAAGCTGCTATTGATCCTGTATATTTGTCTGTACGTGACAGCACAAAAGTCTAACAAAATACCGAGGGTCACCAAAAGCCATATCAATATCATGTTAGAAATGGAATACAATCCGCAGCATTTTTCGACATAGTATTTTTAGATAACGTAATTGTATTCTACGTATGTACAATTTAATAACTTGTCTATAGTTTTGTCCTCTTGAAGCCCTCTTTTTATCGTTTGGAAATTATCTCCCGCCTATAAATTTCAGCTATTCGTATCAACGATTCTTAAGCTGGAATATCAATTTTTATTCCAGTCTCGCTATGATAAATATTTGAAAGCTACATTTGGTCGACCACACTTACCTTACACTCGATCAATCTTCCTTAAACGTTCCCACACGAATCTCAAAGTACTTTTCAATATCTTCAATCGATCCTAGCAAATACGTAAATTCCGATTTTCCGTTACTTGCTAATGTACAAAGATGCGGGAAATTCGTAACATGTGAGCCATTTTCCTTGACAAGATAAGCCAGGGATTAATACTTTGGAAGGATGATCTTAAAGGGTTACAACGAACGAAGCTTGCGCGATAATATCACAAAGTTCTTAACTTTTTTTGTTTGAAATTATCATTGACTTTTCTGTGCGCTATTCCTTAAATATATACCGTTCTTCCAAAATACGATGATCAGATGTGCGTTTCATTCGAGGGAGTCTCATCTTCGTCAGACACTTGATATTTGAGACGTCTATTTTTCGCGTGTATTAGGATCGATGATCTTTTTGTCTGTTGCAAATATCGCGAAGCACCGATTTCGTTAGTGTTTTTGTCTGCTGTCAAAAAATAGTTCGCAGGTACGTTATTCGTTCGCTTTTCATCCTCTCCATCGTCTGCCTGTAATTGAGCTGCCTCGTGCGACTTGTTTTTCACAGGATCCGAAGCGCTGTACCTACACATATGCCGGGAACAACAATTTCTGGGAGCGTGAATTGGTTTACGAAGTTTTACGGTGTAAAGCGTAATCGTAGTTCGTACGACAAACAATTCACCAAGCACAAAAATGGGTACAAAATTAACGACGAGCAAGGGAGATGCTTTTAACAAACATTAATCAAATTTGACTTACATCCCATGTCGTTGGCTATTTACGCTTCTTTCTCGAAACACCTGAGATGCTTGACTAGGCCTGACACCACAAATTGTACTGGAATCTCTCATGCTACTCAGGCCAACTCTGCTAATGGATGGATTGCTAGGGGAGCATCGACATGTTTCCTTAAAAGCATTCCGATATTTCGCGCTCATCACATTATACAGGATGGGATTGATGGTGGTGCTGAAGTAGTAAAGGCAACCAGTGAGCGGGTACACCCACTGGTTTATGTCATCATACGTCGAATCTTCATATACGTATAATAATCGTTGAATGTGAAATGGCGCCCAACAGATGAAAAATGTGATCACTACGGCACCTGTAGAACCAAGTCGAAGCACGATTTCTATCCACCTTGATGTTTACTGATACTACCTGATACCTCTTTCTCCTTCTCTTTTCCTCTTCCCAATATAATAACTATAAATAAATATTAATACCTTACAGCGAACCGTGAAAGATGCAGCAATGTTTATAAATGAAGATCACCGGCCAAAAATCTAAGTGCATTCTTGTTCTTTTCCTAATTGTAATGTCGCTTTATGAACGAGCGAAAGGATTGTAATATAATGGAATCGAGAGTGAAAACAACCTGTTAGGTTTAAAGATTAAAACTATTAAAATCTATTAAACAAAGATTATAAACTCTATTAAAACTAGCTCATAAGTTAACGAAAGCTCGTGGAAGTTAAAGGCATATATTTTAATATCTTCAACGTTTTAATATGATGACGAGAAATATTTTGAAAATTTTTAAGTGAATAGAAAAACACACGTTTAACTGTAAAGCCAGTTAAAAAGCAATTTTGATAACATGGGATTCATCGAAAGTCTATAAAACTGTTCCTCTATAAAAAAAGAAAAAAGAAATGAGAAATATGTTTTATCGTGTTCTTTTCCGTGTATTCTTCAAATGAATTAAATAGAAAGATCAGGAAGGGAGTAAATAAACGAGGTAATGAAATTTTCAACTACGTTACAACTCGCAAGAATGTTAGTACTTTCAACCTTTGTAACGTGTTATCGACAAGGTGAAAATTGTCTCGTGGTATGATGATCTCGCGCTGTCGAGAAACTTTGACATCCACGTCGGCTTCCTCATCAATCTCTGAACACGTTCCTTGATAGGATATCATCTATACGGAATAATGGCTGTCTTCATAGGTAAATCAGTTCGTTCTATATATTTACACGTGCGACAAAGGTATACGAAGTTGATTAACGTATTTACGAGGGGCGTATTAACATTTCGTAGGAACAAAGGACGGGATGATGTTTATTTAAAATAGAACATTTACTCAGCATCCGTGTGATGGTTTTCCGTGACTGGGCTTGTTTGGTTTCACCATGAACGTATCCCTCGACGTTTTGCGCGAGGGTATCACTTTGTATTCGCAACCCTATCCTCACGTAAAGCACCGCGATAAACACCATGGGTATGAGAAAGAAGAAGATACAACTAAGCTGGTAAAGAGGGAAATTTGGCATGTTTTCCTTCAGCATCGCGCAAATCGCGGATTCTTCCGAGTTTCGTTTCGAGTCTGGAAATCAAAACCAAGCGATATTTTCAACGAGAGAAAGTGACCATTTAAAAGAAGAATAAAAAGAAAGAACAAAATTTCGCTTATTTAATTACTCGTATCAGCAAATTCGTATGGAAAATGAACGATACGAAAATTAATGAAACGCGCACAAAATACATATATACGTCGGAAAGTGCTTTTGACTCGAATTTCTTGCTCTCATTTGCTCGATTGACATTTCCGATTTTCCAAACCGTTCATCAGTTTATTGATTACATTTTCGGTTCATGAACGCATGAATACAGTTTACAGAGTGTACGTTGAGCAAATATCTATCCTGACATCGTATCTATAATATATGGTAAAATTGCGTTAATACGATTTGTAATTCAAATGTAAAATCGATACCTTTTCAAATATCTACTTGTTTAAATCTTTAAAGCACTCCTAGAAAATGCTGAAACTTCCGCTAGCAACTTTACGAGCGGTATAGTAAAGCTTGCGAAAGCCACAAAGAATACAGAATAACAAATAGCTTTGCAAGAACTCACTTTGTGGGTACTCAACGTAATCTATATCAATGTAAGCAGCGAATGGTATAGCAAAAATCAAAGCTATCAACCATGCACCAAATATAGATCGTATAGAACGCTTCAGACCACTTCCATAATGACGAAGAGGATGATAAATTGCCAAATATCTTTCTACTGAGAATGCCATTATAGTTAGTACCGACACGTAAGAGGACCTTTAAAAAGAAAATTCTTGTAGTTGCTTTAAAACAAGATTTTTTGCGTCATCTCGTATAACGTTCAAAGTATGCTATTCTTTGACTGGTGCTACGTCGACTCACGTTTCGGAGACGTACGCTCTCAGTTTACATATGCCTAGTCCCCATTGCCATGGATATTGTTGCCAAAATACGCTCAATTCGAAGGGTAAACCTGAAAATCAATTGGAAAATTCGTGCTTACCCTCGTACTGTAATTGTTTTCATAGGGATTCGTGCTTTTCTTTGATTACACGCCGCGTTTCCGAAATTGCCATGTTGCAAAACGAAGATAAAATCGTGCTCGTGAAGTAAATATCCTTTATATCGAGTTTATTCGTTCAATTTCCTTTCATGATCGGCCTATTTACGAATAATTGAATGTTTCACAACTTAAGAACACGGGATGCTACGAACTGCTGATTCAATAATACAAGAGTAAAAGCAAGAGAGAATGCGATAATTTAAATGAAAAACATTTCCCAATAAAGTCTATTCCTTTTTCCTTCACGATTTCATCCATGAAATTCCTTTCCGAAATACGTTAGTTTGTACAATTGCAATGATTCGAATTCAATTACCGCTTTAGTTCGGTGAATAAGAAAAAAGAGAGAGAAGAAAATACAAAATTATAAAACAATGACATCGGACGAAAATCAAAGATCAGTGAACATAAATTAATTGTAAAGCTACTTGCGATGCAAACTAATTTATTCAGGGGAATCGCGATTCAGCACCAGATACAAATGAAATCGTAACGAATAACGAATGGAATCGTAAGTGGAACCTTTAATCACAGCAAGGAACATCGAACAACCCATTAACCGACAATTAACGTTTAATACGTGACCATTTTGCAAATATCGTCTCGCAACCGGCAATACTACATAAAACTCTTGTTAAATAGACTTTCTAATTTATACTGTGCACTGGCAAAGACATTGTAGATCAGAGATTCCGACGAATGAAGAATTTTTAACTACATAATTTTCTCGAAGTACTAATTATTTCTATTTTCTTATTTTTAATACAATTCTGGTAAATAACAAATGTGATCAAATGTCAATAAGATGTAACTGCAAGTATAGGGATTGAATAGTATATCAAGTATAAATGTATATTACATAGATACATATACTACTTATCTTACGTTACATATATCAGTTTCCATTTCCACCGGAAACATAATTCTTCATCAATGAATCACATATGTCTCGACTAGTTATGAATTAATCACAACTAATGGATTCGATAAGTTATCTACACGTGGGTCGAACTGCAACGGCACGACTATCGTAAAACAATTAAAAGCAGACAATTTCTAATCTTTTTAATACCATATTAAAATACTTCTCAATCGTAAAATTATACGCAATTTGTATGTCCAATTAAGTTTCTAATTAAAGTATCATTTCGCCCGAATATTTCTTTAAACTAATTCGCTTTGATTCGATTTGCAGTTACCGCAAATTATATTCGATTATATTTACAAATCAACATTAACTGCGACGAATAAAGTATACAAAAAATATAGAAAAAACAACGAGTAACGAACATTTCTTAAACTTACCCAATATCAAAAACAGCAGATCGGATACCGCCAAATTGAACAAGTAATAATTCGTCGGTGTCTGCATGGTCGGATTCCTCCATATGACGATGCAAGTGATCACATTGCCAACAAATCCGGTTACGAAGATGATAACGTACGTAAGGGTAACAGGTACGACCAACGTTAAAGATAAATACTTGGGACCGCGTATTTTTTCCAAGTATTCCAATTCGTCGCTAATGTTCTCGTAAAACGAATATTTATCCGACACATCCATCGTTCACGAATTTTAATCACCGTTTGCGACAGAAATAAATCACTTTGCCCTTTGTTCCCTTTTAAGTCACGCAACAATAATCGTTCTTCCTCACTTCGAAAACAATTAATAGTCTTCCCATAAATGTCAGATATTTGCTTCATAGAAATCCCTTCGGTATTCGTCGGCAAAGAACAAATTCATCTGTTGCTCGAATCTCGACAGTTCCAGCCGAAATCAATGACGTGTGGAAAACAGTAATAACGCTGGCGCCTCCCTCCCCCCATGCGAGGGATGATCTTAAAAGCGCACCGTTCGCCAGATCGTGAACAAGTGACGTCTCTCGAGTTGCTCACCTTTGCACCACGCGCCCATCTACTACGCACCCAACCCTCCACTTTAACCCCCGCAAACCAGTCCGCATCGTAACTCGACCAATAAAATCACGCGCATCTCGCCAAATCAACGATTCAAAATATTTAACGACAATTTTATCGTTCTGATTACCGAGAGAAATTTCTGCTCGCGCATACGCATATTTCACGAGTTGTAACACCTGCGAAAACTTACTTCTCCCCTAGACGCGTCTTGATATTTTCACAAATAGAACCAAGAGGGCATAGCATAAAACGAGATTTAATGCCGTGATAAATTGAACTACGCGACAACACGATAAACGGTTGCGCGATTTAACGCGAGAAATGAAGTTCTTCCGAATGTTTCGCTCTATCCGCTTCGTCTGTTCGGTATAATTCGATATACTCTCAACATTTAGCCGCTCAATCGTTCCACGTCAGAAGTTAGAGCAAATAAAAACGATATAACGCTGTCGTTCAAAGACATTGTATAGTTCCGATGTTGTTTGATATTATTAGAGGAAAATTCCCAGTTGTACGTAACCTCGTTAGGGGCTTTAATGTCATCGTTATTAAAATCCTGTACTTGGATAGTTAGGGATGATATTAAATCGCGTTAAAACGTGTAATTACTGTCGACTTGTACGATGAAAACAATACGAGTACCGGAGGATGCGTATTTTTGGCATCCGCTAAAATTATTGTTTATCTAGTTCAGCGGTGGGAAACACTACTACTCTACGGCATCAAAGAGTGGCTATATTTATTTCGATTCTTATTGTATGAAGTATAAATATTTTTCATACAATTTAATTTCGACAAATTATTTTTGTTCCCGCGTGTGTGAGTGACAATTTTTGTTTGCAAGAATTTGCTTTCTCATTCTACCAATCTTGCTTCGCGCCTTTAGAATTTTCATTTTACCTCGCAATCGTTCACGAATCTTTTCCCGCCTTATTGTCCTCAAGTATTCGTCTCTGACTGTGATTTACATACATTTGCACATTCTTCCGGGAAGTATGACGGAATGCCGCAATTAGTGTTTTTTTATATCTTCTTGGTTTGATAGCTGGATTTATCGGTATCGCGAAACAAAAAATGAATCACGTATTTCTTTGATTTATAAGTTAAGGATTCTCGAAATAAATATCGCTTGTTGTTATCGCTATCAAGACGAGCAATCTCAATTGCTTGTTTCGGAAGATGTATCTGACGGAAATGGCAGAGTAAGAAAGCTTCTTCATATCCGAAACGTACTTCTTGTATTTGCGGAGTGCACGAGTCGAGGATTAATATCAACGTGCCAAGAATAAAAATGTAGAAGGAGAACTGAAAAATATACGATATCAGTATGATATTTAGATGGATTGCTAGATGATTACACGATCTTAAAAAAATTTTTTTAATGCGCCAATTTGACTTTTAATAAAAATATAAGAAATCAAAAATATAGTATCGTTAAATACAGTGGATGAACGTGGACAAAAACGGAAACTTAGTACACGTAGCGAGTTCCTATTTTCTTTACATCACGTACATATATTTCACATTTTACCTTTAACGTCTTCTTACCGTGTACCGAGATAATAGCGTTACGTTTCCACGTTTTTGTCCTTATTCAGTTTTTAGATGATAAACAGTGGATTAGAAAACGTTGCGTCTGAAAAGAAAAGAGGAAAATCAATAAAATCGCGTGCACTGCAGAATATGAATGAAATCTAACGGTATTACCATCGCTTAAGAAAACAATGTTACCCATTGCAATGATTTCTGGCCCATTAGTTGTGTGAAAACTGTCCAAAACACGCACTGACACACCGAATACAAGCATTCAACTATCACGAAACTGATCAATTCTGTCACACAAAACAAATATTCTAACAAGACGCGCGTTACCATTTTTACGTTCTTAAAATATTCTTTCTAACATTATCTGGCAATAGTGGAATATAATAAACGAATACGAAAGCTTTTATTCAGGTTATACCATTCATATTGACAACTTGAACAGAGAAATTGCTGACGCATTCTTTTGTTCAGCTACAAAATTCTATACTTGAGAAATATCTTAACTCAAACCGTAATATTTTCGAAAGTGTATTATTCTATATCCGCTCTATTCTTTCTTTCTTAGCGTTCTCACTTAGCTTTCTTTCTATCATGTATCTAACTATTATTCCTTTATTTTATCAGAATAATAGGGATCTCCTTACGCTATATCATAAACGAGACAGACTTAATGATGCAAACTATTTTAATTAGAATGTCACCTTAAAATCAGATACACCTGAATTTTTCTGTCCTCCAACAATTTTGCTTTATATTTGTTTGCTGTTTTATATTTCAAATGTCTTCTGAATAGAAGTTTAAAAAGATAGTTTCAAGAAATTGCTTTTGTAAAATTTATTTGGTGAGGAGACTTTTCTATTCTACTTTCCAGTTCTCCAATTCTTCCTTCTCTTTTCCTTCATAACAGAAGAATGGAATGTATATTACATAACGCAGCAAACTGACAGCAGTCCACTATAACAATAACTTTTCGTTACTTCAGCTACAATTTTTCATACAACAAAAATTAATATGTTTTTTACACGAAAAATATGTTATTTTCCTGTTTTGTTGAGAATTGGACTGATTTGGCTATCAGGTACAGAATTATTTTCTAGATCAATTTAATCGAGAATATTATTGGATATATTACTTTTCGAATCACCTCGTGGATATAGAATTTTATTACCAGAGTCAATAACAAGCTCGAATCAAGTTAATTCAATTACGTAACGAGATGACCAAAAGTTTTGTTACTACAACAACTATTTTCCTGCAAATACGGAATTTTATTTAATAAAACACGAACGTTAGTTTTTTGTGATCATAAGTAAACTCGAAGAGCAGATATCTTACAATTACGAAACTTTGATTTTCGACTACCGACAAACTTTACACAGTTACAGATGTAAGCTTATCACATTTCCTTCGTCCATGTTCATTAAAAGTTCGAACTTGGTGTCAATCAATTCGAAACTTTAGGAAGTAATTACAACTCGTTCCTTGATGAAACAATTCTTGGACAAGTTTTATCAGAAACTTATTATTTTTAAATATTCATATACTGTGATATACTAATACATTATTTCATAATATATTTTCCATATATTTTATTTATTCAATTATTCTCCACATTCAACTTCTTCTCTATTTTTAATTCCGTGTTGAATAATTTTGTGACGCATCAAAATATTTGTTGGATGTATAAATACGATCTCCAGAAATCATATTTAATTGTATTTATTTTATTCATTTCTTTTTGGCGCGCGAATTCTGATTTGCATTAAATTATAAATAGTAATGAGATAAAAGGAAATAAACTGAAATAAGATAAAGTAAATTGTCCTGCATTGTTAGTGCGAGATTTTAAGAGGAATTTTCCTTCGTTGTTAAGAAAAAGATTTTCAAGATGCAAAATGTATCTAATAAAAAAATTGGATACCCAATGAAGTAATAAAGTACCCAATAGAAAGCTTTAAAAGATTCTAAACAGTTTCTTATATCAACCGTATTTAAAATAGTTTCATTAAAAGGATTCGAACCTTTGATAAAGAGAATTAATAGCGTCCTGACATTCCTTGTCACAAGATACCGTTCTTTGCCGGAGTTTTCTAGACTGACAAAAGTATGTACTCGCCTTTCTCGCATGATTTTTACTCTTTTGTACGTGCTATTATAAAATAAATGTCACTCGGTAAACAGTGCTTATTTATATTTGACTTACGTATATTACGATTTTCGCAATTAACCGCTAGAACTTTTAAGTACATAATCCTTAAGTACAATTGAGTAAAAATGAATTTAAAAACGCAACTATACAATACAGTCAGAAAATAAATAAGATAAGCAATAACGATACAACAAGCTTAAAACTATTATGTACAATAATTTTAACGGCTAACAATGTACAACTTAAATTACAAAACGCTACTGGTTGTAGACCCAGACTTATTCTCTTCTGTGTTACGAGCAGGATCTCTTTCATTTCTTTCTTCCTGCTGTCCGGAGTGCATTCGATTGAGAAGGGGCTTCGACGTGAAATCTTCCTTTGTGAGCACGTGTGATTTACGAGCGATATTATCGTTTATATTTCCATCTCTATTCACGCCTTCTCGACTTGTAGTAAATCGAAACATCTCCTTCGCTTGACTAATAGTATATCTAAACAAAAATTACAATGATATCGGACGTGGCGTTAAAGTAAAAAAGCATTGCCACTTTGAAATTCCCACTTTTTATAAAACTATGTTAAACATGCTACCTCACTGAACACTTGAAACTTGAGCTTCGCGCTTTTCCGCTCGAATTACTATTGCATATTTGAGACTCTCTGGTAGTCCAACTTCTCCTGCCTGTCATTCTCGTTTTGCAGCAGATGGTTTCTTTGAACGCTTTCCTATACCTCATACTCATCAAATTGTATAAAATTGGATTCACGGTTGTGCTGAAGTAATAGAGGCATCCGCTTAAGATATACAGACACTCGTTCAAGTCTGGATAGTAGTCAGATTCTTGCGCGTAGATATAAAGCAATCGTTGAGCATGAAACGGTGCCCAACAAATGAAAAATAAAATAACCACCGCAGCTAAAACAGCGATTACAGGTTACAAATCTGACGAAAATAAAAGTAAAAAATGTAAAAAATTGAAGATAAAAGACGTCTTACTTAACATTCTGATCACGGATTTTCGAGACTGAGTTTGCCTCGAGTCTCCATGAATAGCGCCCTGCATCACAGAGTTTAAAGTATGATTTGTACTGTTTCTGATTTTTAAACCCATTCTGGTATACACCACCAAAATAACTAGCATTGGTATCAAGAAAAATATAATACTGCTCAACTCATAGAGAGGGAAATTAGGCATATATGGCAGCAACATTCCGCAAACCGCGGAATTAGCCGAGTAATTCCCGGAATCTAAATAATTATACATTTTCGTTACTTCCTTTATATACATGTATATATAGCGGTTCGGAGAAACGCGATGAAATCTTTTAATTAACCTCGTGGATATTCGACTAAGTTGACTTTCGTGTAGATTGCAAACGGTATGGCAGAAACCAACGCAATCGACCACGCGGCTAAAATGAAACGTATTGGTCTTTTGAGGCCACTTATTGCATAAACGCGGAGCGGGTGACAAATCGCCAAATATCTTTCCATGGAAAAGGCTACTATCGTAAGAACCGATACGTAGGAAGATCTATTAAGCAGAAAATAAATTTTAGAGAGAAATTTATATAATATAATTGTTTGTAATTGACTAAAAAATAGATTGCTTACACTTCCGATACGTATGCCCTGATTTTGCAAAGACTAACTCCTAGAACCCATGGATATTGTTGCCAAAAGAGGCTCAGCTCATTAGGTAATCCTGAAAATGATCGAACACAGCACGATAACGATCGAAGAACAAGTAAATAATAATCGATCGATCGAGATATTTTATTTCACCGTAACAATTGAAAGACACAAGAGTCTCTGTGATGCATAAACTCATTTTCTCGAAAGTAGATTTACGACTGCCTTAAACCCAGATGGCAATTAACGCACAGACGTCGCAATGTTTCATGACGATGTTAATGAGATGCGAAATTGTATCTCTCGTGTTAAATCAACTTCAATATTTATTACACCGTCTGAGAAACTATTTCTATTTGCTTCAACCTTTTAGACGTCGAATTGCGTATTAATGAGAGATACAATTATCTAGTGACGACTTATTTCCTAATAAACGCTCACAATGGAGAACAAAGAGGACCGAAACGTTGAAAATGAATCATTTAATAAAATATGATTACTCTGAGTACAAACGAATGTCATCTAGAAAACGCTAATTAGAAGCAATATCTATGCAGTCACACTTAGTATTTCACAAAATCAATATCAGATACCGATCATGCTGAATGTGCGTAAGCATTGAACGTCTTATCATAATTTTTTTAATCACTGATTTTCATCGCTATTGCGAACAGCATACCTATCGATAAGAATTCGACATTTTTCTATCTTTCCAACGATACATACAGAAAACAGTTCTTTTTCGCAGCGTAGGAGATACAACAAAAGTATGGTTGTATATTTTGACGTCATTATCAAGTTTAGCAGAATACACGGAACTTAAAAAGGTAAGATTTTTATCAGAAGTTAATCGGTATATTGACGTCTACGATTTCCAGCGTAGAGACCTCTTCATTTCTGCCATTGTATCCTTATTTCGGAAAAAAAAGGATTCTTACGGAAAGTTTCTCATACGATGAGATTGAAAACTCAACGTGTCTACAGTCAACAGCTACACCTCGATAGTCAAATTTCATTCTAATTATGTATATGATATTGTTATCGTCGTCTCGTTATCTTGATCTTAAATTTCAGTTATTCGAGTGACGAACATCCAGGTTAATTTCGTAAACGCGATGCAAAATATAAACGATCGTATAAAGCGTTATGCTTGTTCCTATCATCTTAAATCTGTTAATTCTACGATGACTTTAACACCGGTGCACGCACGTCCACAACTTTTATCCTAAAAAATTCGCGCTATGACGCAAATATAAACGACGTTACGATCAACAAACAACCAACCGAGCAGATAACAATCTCTCGTGTACACATTAGAGGAAGATTAATTTAAAGCCTTTATCATCGACTTAAGAAACAATGGTAAAACAGTCTGAATTTAAACGCGTCGTTCGTAGATAAATTTCTCGATACAGTCCTTTTTGCCTTCCTTTTTTCCGTTAATCGCTCGTATATCGGCAATACGCTCGAACATAAATTCGCTAAATCAAACAATCATATATTATATCTATATAACTATCATACATATAAACTAAATTAAATATCATTTCTGTCCACACGTTTCTCTGTATATTGATATCGACCTATTTTTATCAAGCATCGATATATAAAAATATTAGCAATTCCAATAGAAATGCTATTTCCACTTAATAACTTAATCGAGTATACGTTATTTCAGAGATCAGACATAAATCTAATACGGTTATAGATTCTCTTCGTGTCGATTAAAAGCAAATCGATATACCTACACAGGGGGTCGCGTGTATTCGTCCACGCTTATCTTTATTAAACGTCTATCGAACTTCATTATCTTCATGTTCCTTCATAAATTGTTTTTACGAACGGGGAGAATGAGAATTGACGTGACCCGGACGAAGCAACAAAACGTATCGATACAGGCAAACGTAAACGCCACTCACCCAACACAAGTAGAATAAGGTCAGATATGGCCAGACTGAATAAGTAGTAGTTGGTGGCCGTATGCATCGAAGGATTTCTTATAATTACGATACACGTCGTGACGTTCCCAAAAATACCAGTCACAAAAATTGTCACGTACGCTATCGTTAATGGTATCACCATCTTCAGAGGCAGATACTTAGGTCCAAGTACCGTGGCCAAATATTCGTCTTCCGTTAAATTCTTCAAATCCAAATCCTTCCAAAAGTCGTGAATATCGTTTGTATCGTTCTTCGATGTTTCCATGATGATTTTTAAGGTGGGCAAGTAAATTTTCTTCCTCTGTTCCCGAAGAATATCTTTCGCGAAAGAAGTCGTACTTCGATCGCTGAATATTTCAAACGAAACCTGCGTGTTCTTGAAGAAACACGTTTAGAATTTGACACGTTTCATTTAGTTTGATTTAGTTTAAAAATGTATTACGCGTGATCGTAGAAATGATCACCGGTAAACAAAACATTCTGCTACGAGGCTCGATAATTCGATGTCGAGTCAACAAACCAAGATCGGTCGATCATTAGTAGGTCATCAGCTTAAGACAAGTTGAAGACAGTTCAATAATTTTATCGAAATTGTTGTCCCATGAAATTGTTTCACTTCGAATAATAAAATATCGTATACTTGTTTCAAATATTCACTCCGTCTAAATTTAATCGTAGACATTCAACTTGTCATTTCAACGAAAATTTGATTCGGTGTAAGTTTGGTCGCCGTTTCTCGTTAATGAACCACCACATATTTCCATTTTTTTTCATCCACATACAAATCTTCTCACAAACAAACATACACGATTCACGTACCGAACAACGAAGAAACACGTTATTATTTATCGTTACTAATTATCATCGCTAGAACAATTCCACAAAATATTATAATTTCTCCTGATAATACAGGTTATATTTATATTTTGTTTATATTTATGTCTATAATTTGTCGGTAATGCTCGTAAAATATATAGCTACAAAAAATATGAAGAAAGAAATGCAAGAAAGAAATTGGAAACCATGTGCACGGTGAGGAGCAAGAAAGAGATATGTGTTTTGAGCGCGTAACTTGCTATCATTAACACAAATGATCAAAATAAATGGTCGAAATGAAGGGGAGGACGGTAAATCAACCAATCGTCGCTGTCGACAGCAGACTACTGTACAGCGTGACTGAACTCAACATTCTTAACGATACCGTTGAACACCTTTCGTCCCAACAATCTCATCTCTCCTGATTTTGCGATAAGAGAGTCGTTCTAACGTTCCATTCTATTCTATTAAGATTTTCAGTGCATTCAATCGCGCTTGTAGCTGTACCTTATTGATATATTTTGTGTCTAATCACACAGTGTAAATGTAACTTTTATTAAATCGAAAAAAATTTCTTTTTCCTTTTATTTGGCAAAATGATCTAACAATTGTTTGCAAATGTTTTACTGAGATTGATGACAGATTCGAATAACGTATAATAGATCCGATTTTTTAACAGATAAGTTTACTCTTAACATTGTAGCGTGTCATATGAAACAAAGAATAAGGAGGATTAAGCTTGAAAGATATTGATGTATAAGCATGTTCCTGTATGTACAAAAATTCATAAGAAATGCATATTTATTGTATCATATGCATATATGTATCGTATTATCTCGAATATGTATGATCATGAGTCATTAGTAGGAAAAGAATCTCCAATTTACGGAGAAGTAGTCAGATACGACGCATTTTGCGATCTATAAAATTTACAAGAGCAGTAAAAAAAGATAATCATTTTCGTGGTATGTATTTGCGTTTAAAACTTCCTTTATTTGAGATTCCAGGAGCAATAAAACATTCGTTCCGGTAGCAAACATGTTTTTTGGAGAGCTTCCCTAAATTGATTAGAGGTAAAAACACTAAATATAAATAGGACTCTTCATTTTGTGACAGGAGATAGAACACGCATCAAATTGCAAAAATCATACTACTCGATAAGATTAATCAGACAATGCAACGATAATTTTTGCGATAACACTCGTCTCCGTCAAACGGAGACATATTTTTTTTATTATGGTGAAACAAAATTCGTTTAGCAACAAATATCACAATAACATGTCAAATATCTTTAGAAAATATTTATTATATCGTTCAATATACAAATTCTCATTTTCTTACATATAAATAATTTTATTATTTACAATGACATAATAAAAATATTAACAAGAGTCAGATTCGTCGGAACTCGTATCACTAATCTTATCTATCCTATTACTATTATGCAATAATCTATTTGTATTTACAAAAAGATCGTCTTCTTCGTTATCATTCTCTCTATCGGTTATTTCTTGATTCGAATTGGAGACTTCATCGAATTCTTTGGGCCAGCAGTTTAGTTGTCGATACCATTTTTTATGTTCCTAGTAAATAAATTTGTTTCTCAAAAAGTTACGTAATTAATGTACAAATGCATTTACAGTTAACCATACTCGTGTTAATATCTTAACGATCTCAGCCTTCACTTTATTCCCTTCTGATATTGGTTCTACCAAGACAAAATCTCCCCGTTTTATCCAGATGTTTCTCCTAAACTTCACCGGCATCGATACAAGATATTGAGATCCAGCTGGATCAGCAACTTCGTGAAGATTATTACCGCGCGATTGTATTATTCGAACAATCGACTGCGTCTTGGTAGGGATGGTCAAATCCTGAATTTCATTGGTAACGTGTTTACGTTTAGTTGCTTTCGACATTTTAACCTGTAAAATCAAACCCAATAGGAATTTTATATCTATATTCATTCATTCATTTTAAAATGAAAAATATAATCGTTTTAATTCTAAGCTTTATCATTTATCGTTACAATTGGTAATGTTTTACTTCATTCGATTATTAATTTTATACTTCATCAGTCTTTGGTTTAATTTCTTTTAATTTATATTTTTTATTCGGTGTAATTATTCGCTGTTTTACATTGTGCCACGATCCTAAAGAACCTTTAGATTTGTCTATAGCAGACCATACGTCCAAGCTCTCTCCCGAAGGAACCTCGTAACCATTTTTTAAGCCATAAGGATTCGATGGCGTAATACAATCATTCTCAGGTTCTTTACGCAGAACAGTATCTACTTCTACGGAAGAAAAGAATGCTACTGACATCGGCAGATCGTTCATTCCAAGTCTTGAAGCGCAAAAAGATCGAGTTAAGAGATTCGTAATGTGCATAGCAAGTGCTGCATTGTACTTATACCGTGAGGGTACCAAGTACCGCACTTCATCATGAAATGATAAACAGAATCTTATATTGTCTTTCATGAGCCATTTCATCGAGACTAACATTAAATGTAAGAAATCGACTGCTCCACTCTGAACTACCCAATTTACTTTAGTGGGTAAATATTTTTCGTCGTTTGTTGAATTTTCTAAAGCTGTAGTTAGCCTAGAGTTCAAGAAAGGTGTAGCAGGATGAGGATTCCGAGCAATTTCTTCCAAACTATTAAACATTGCAGATTCCGAACCACCGACCCATCTACTTTTCTCAAATACCTCCAACAATGATTTACCGTATAATTTTGATATTCTGTATGCCTCGTACAACGAATAATCTTTGTCTTCATGTTCGGCAATATATTCAGGTTTTAATCTATACATCTTTTTGCCTTTGGTCATGGTAAACATTTTTCGTGACTTTGAAGTAGCTTCGCTATCCGTCATACAAGGATTGAATTGTTTCAAGAGTGTTTCAGCATACTTTTGACCCGCACCATAAATTCTAGCATAATTAATGATTTTGGCTTGGTTCCTGGAAATTCCAACTGCTTTAGCAGTAACGCTATGCATGTCAGTTTCGTTAGATTTGGTACCAATTAACGTCATCCAGCCAAACGGCGTAGCTCCATGAATTTTTTTATAATAAGCATCTCCTATTATTGATGAAATCCACAGTTCCTGACTGTCAACATCAGCGCCAACAATATAATATCCTGGGGGCGCTTGAACCATTGCTCGTAATTCAGAACCGATACGTTCAGGATGGACATTAGATGCAGTCATCCAGGTAGGTTCTACTGCACGCCTAGTCAATGTCCCGCACACAACTACTATGGGTAAAATTGCCCCATAACGCATGGACTTTCTGGAATTTCTAACACTACTTGGTAAATATGAATTTTCAAACCATACTGCAAACTGTGACATAATTCTATCCCTATTATTTCTCCAATATGAAATCATCCTCTCAATTTTCAAAATTTCTGCAGCACTGGCATCTGAACTAGCCAATACATTCTCTGAAAATTTATTTAGGAAATCTTTGCTCAAAGGATTACCGACATTATTACTTTTTCCATCTTTGTGAGGCAATTTAAGAAAATAACAGCAGTTATCTATTTCCACATTGCACCAAAATGCACTGCCTTTATAAATGTTATGTAACTCAGCTACAGGTTTCTCCTTTTTGTTACGCCAAAATTCAGTTTTATGTAGATTGTTTTGCACCTCTTTGTTAATGGTTGACATCATATAAATTGTTTCAACAACTAAATCCTTCATTTTAGAAAAGAGACAGTGTGCCAAGAGCTGTCTTAATGGTATTTTAGTTTTGATATCTAAATTATTAGTATGAGGTACTAATATACCCCAACCTTTATCTTTTACATAATGCAAAGGATAACATTCCCATGTTAAATTTAAGAGCTTTGGAACAATATGTTTAGAAGTGCTTATGTTTTGAGGGCCTGGAGACCAGTTTTCATCATTTACCTTAGGACAAAGTTTCCTATACCAAGCAGGATATCCTGGCATATGTCGTAACTTTGAAGGTAAAAACTTTCTTGTTTCCATCAAATAACCAAATTCTTTCTCTAAAGGGTCTTCTTCTTCATCTTCGTCATCTGTTAAATAGCTCTGAGTTTCTGTCTTTTTCTTCTCTTCTGTCTTTTGTGCTTTACATACTTGCTTAATCTTTGTTTTTGAATACTGTGCTTTTACTTTAAATGTTTGCGTACTCCAATCTTCATCCCACATCCATAAGTCTTCTTTATATTTTTCATTATGCATAAGTTCACAAACAGCATTAGCTCTTTTAGCAAGAATAACTTTAGTTTCATAATTTAGATCTTCAAATGTAGTCTCTGATTCATTTAAATATTTTTGCCAATTAGAATTTATTGGCAGATATGCTGTACCAATCTCTAACATCCCTGCCAAAGTAACAGGATGAGGAAATCTTTTCTTAAAGATAGGAAATAATTGGCGTAAAACATTATGAGTTGCAACTACATC